CAGGGATTGATTTGTGATGATTTGTGATGGTCTGGGGGCATTCTTGTTGTTGATATTGTGTAGTGGTACTCTTACCTGTGTGAGATTTATCTTGTGAAAATTGTGAGAAAACATTCTACGTGATGTCCGTTCTTTTCCTTATGCTTACTAGCTGGCATGAACCATGTTAGGAAACTTGCACAAGCATACACATGGCTAAGCACTCTTATCGGATAAGATGTTTCCTTGATATTGTTGAGTATAGATGCACACCCTTGTTTACTTCTCTTCCATGTGAGAATGACTCTATTTGGCACGTGGGTTGTCAGTGCGGTCATGAGGTGTAATGAGGGCACAGGATGCCAAGTGTTAGAGTTCAGGTATCGAGACCCGCAAGTTGTGATTTTGTCCAAGGTTCGGTACCTCGTGGAGTTTGTTGACTAAAAACCTGATGTGAAAGCGGTCATAGTTGCTGAGTTATAGTTGTCCTTGCAACATCTATGATTTAGGATTTATGTTGTGTTTCCGTTCACTCTTTTGTGTCATTATTATGGTGTTCCGCTAATACTTGTTGTTTTCTTCTGATTGAAATTACTGTACTGTTATCCATATCGTGTAGTCTTTATGTAGATATCACACTCTGTTGTTCCTATACCTATACTTGTTCAGGTTATTAGACCAGTAGGTGTTTTGACTCTTTTTCATCACTGCTCCACTCAGGTTAGTCTTGATACTTACTGGGCACCACTGTGGTGTGCTCATACTACGCTTCTGCACATTTTTGTGCAGATCCAGGTATTTGATCATTAGTAGCTGTGCGGATCGTGTTTTGGAGACTCAAGGTAAACATGTTTCTGCATTCGCAGGCTTCAAAGTCACCTTCCCATTTTGTATTCACACTGTCTTTGCTCTTTTCCAAACAGTTATATTTAGAAGTTGGAACAAACTCTATAAAGTTTATGACTTGTACCACCGATTTTGGGAAAATTGTAAATTTTGTTGAGATCTCTATTTCAAAGACTGTTAGATGTTATTTATTATTGTTGTTATTCAGTAAATGTTAGGCTTACCTAGTCCCTAAGACTAGGTGCCATCACGGTACCCAACGGAGGAAAAATTGGGTCGTGACAAGTTGGTATCAGAACTCTAGGTTCATAGGTGCTACGAGTCATAAGCGAGTTTAGTAGAGTTTTGCGGATCGGTAGACGTCTGTACTTATCTTTGAGAGGCAACGTTACTATTAAGAAAATCTCACTTCCTTCATTCCTATCGTGCAAGCTTATTGATCTTGGAGTTTGAACTTTTATCATTCGATTCTCTCACAGATGGTAAGGACACGAGCTGCAGTTATCGATGACGCTGCTCCCGGAGCAGGTGTCGCTAGAGGCAGATGAAGAGGTCGATGAGGAGCATGTAACGCAGCTAGAGCACCTACCAGAGCAGCGGATGAGGAGCTGCCAGTAGCTTCAGTTAGGGGTAGGTACCAGAGGTGCCTACTGTTACCCCCCGCACATCAAGAGACTTTACCACAGTTCTTGAGCATGTTTGGTACATTGGCTCAGGCGGGGTTGATTCTGGTTGCACATCTACTTCACAGACCGGGGGAGGGACTCAGACTCCCGCCGCCCACAATCCAGAGCAGCTAATTCATGTTGGTCAGGTTCCAGGTGTCATGGCGACACAGCCTGTGGTTCCAATTCAGCTCGTGGTCAGGGCAGCAACATCTGAGGAAGAGCAGCTTAGACTTGCAAGGTTCAAGAAATATGACCCTCCTACATTTAGTGGTTCGGCTTCAGAGAGCGCACAGGGTTTTTTGGAGGAGTGACATCGCCTTCTTCACACTGTGGGTATTGTTTAGACGAGTGGGGTTGCTCTTACTACGTTCCATCTTAAGGGAGCGGCTTATCGGTGGTGGTAGGCATATGAGTTGGGTAGCCCGGGCGATGCAACATCACTTATATGGATAAAGTTTACAGAGATGTTCTTTAGAGAGTTTGTACCTCAGTCCCTTCAGGATGCATGGAGTGCGGAGTTTGAGCAGCTGCGTCAGGGCACTATGACAGTATCAGAGTATGCCGTTAGATTTAGTGATTTGGCTAGACATGCACCTGCCTTGGTTGCTACAGTTAGGGAGCGAGTCTGTAGGTTCATTGAGGGGCTCGGGCATGATATTCGGTTTAGCATGGCTCAGGAGTTGGAGTCGGATGTTTCATTTTCGCAGGTGGTAGGGATCGCTCGCCGGATAGAGGGCATGTTGGATCAGGAGAGAGAGGACAGGTGGGGCTAGGAGAGAGAGGGCGGGCGAGATCAGGAGAGAGAGTACAGGAAGGCGGGGAGGCCTTGTAGACTGGAGAGATCCACTGGTCCTTATTTTGGAGGCAGGGTGCGATATGGTAGAGGTTTTGTAGGTCAGCTAGTTCAGTTTGCACTTCAGGCTTCGCGCAGTGTTTCAGATGTTCATGGGTCTCAGAGTACCCATACCGCACAGTTCCTACAGCCATATCAGCAGCGAAGTTGCTTTGAGTGTGGGGATACCAGCCACATGGTGAGAAGTTGTCCCAGACTTTGGACAGATATGTCACAGTGGGGTATTCAGGCGAGTAGAGGGCGCCCTAGAGGGGGAGGCCCGGCCCGTTGATGTGGTTCATATAGTAGGCTTAAGGTTGTTGCGCCAGATGATTTCATACAAGTATCCTTTCAGTTTGTTCTAGAGCAGCACCATTCGTATTTTTGTTACAGTTTTGCTTTTTAGGGTGAGTTCCCCTATTTCTTCATCACCTAGGGGTGAGTTCATGACTCAATATTCTGTTTACGTGTTTGCCCTGTTGGGAGATTCTATGAGTGGTAGCCCGTGTCTATCGTTTGTTTGTATTCATTATTGAGAGCTATGAGACTAGTAGTGATTTCCTGTTGTCCATTACGGTAAGTTGATGTGATTCCTAAGTATTTTGGTTTCGAGTTGTGATTTTGATGCTCCACCAGTGTGGGAGCCAGTACTTGATGTAAGTTTGTGACGAAATTGATCTAGTGGAAGGTTTCAGTTGGTTTGATGTACATTCTACATGTGATTCAGAGTTGAGGGTGCGACCCTCGCGATTTCATGTGATTTGATGTGTTTGAACTGGGCTGTGTACCGCGGTGGAAGTTATATCAGGATGAGATACTTATGATTGTTCATGTACTTTGATTTTTCCATTTAAATTGATTTGTAGTATAGTACTGATAGAGAGTTGTACCTGTCGGGCTTGTTTGATATTTCTCTTATGTGTTTCTCTTTACGTATTCAGTCATTTTTGTTCTGTGCTTCTTGAGTTTTAGCTTGCGGGGTGTGTGCCCGATGGTGTTAGTTGTGACTTGTTGATTCAGGTGTATAGTTATGAGGTCTTCGTGGTTCTTGAATCATCGTCAGTGTTGTAAAGGTTTGAAATGGGTTCCTATCGGATATGAGGCTAATGTCGGTGCTAGTTTTGATTATGGGCAGCTATTGTGATCAGAAGTGTTATTATGGGTCTATGTATGGTGTGTTATGTTGTGTGGTCGTACCTCATGGGTGCAGGCATGAGTTGTTGCAGCTGGTTGAGACTGATACCGGGTGTGGATTTAGAATCGGGTCTTTTGGAAATGAATGGAAGGTGCGAAGTTTGACTCTAAGGCTTATTGATATTGGTAGAAGGAATAAATTTCAGTTGGGATGGTGTCGTTAGGCTTATGTGGATTGGGGTGATGTGGATGTCACGCCCCAACCTTGGGAGACGTGGCTGGCACCCGGTGCTGCACTGGTCCGAGCGAACCACTCTATAACTCATTCATTCCTTTTGTAACTATCATGGGCCAACATGGCCACAACTCATAATGTACAATTGTAAGTGGGCAAATGTTATATCAATGAACCGTCGTTCATAAAACATGAATACATACGAGCCGTCAAGGCCTCTGATATATTGTACATAATAACCTATGTCTACAAAGCCTCTAAGATTATTTGACATAAAATGGGACAGGGTACCGGCCTACCCATAAGTCTGTAGCAAAACACTAACATGATGACTTATAGACACGACTGCACTCCGAATGAGGTGGAGTTTTACCGATCCTTCGCTGAATGCTAACCTCGTCTACTATGAGGGCTCGTCAAACTGATTGTCTATACCTGCAGGCATGAATGCAGTGTCCCCAACAAAAGGACGTCAGTACGAATAATGTACTGAGTACGTAAGGCTGAACTGAAATATAACAGTAAGTCAACATTAATTAAGGACATGGAAGAAACATGGGGTAAATGACTCAGCCTGTAAGTCTGGATAGCTCTGTAAATCATGAAATATTCATACTGTCATGCATGTGCGTGTAAATGTCATGTAATGCATAGGTCTGTACGTACATAATATCATCAAGCCTCTGAGGGCATCCCATCATATCATCTCAGCCTTTGTGGGCAAAATCATCAACGTATACCAACTGATCAGGTGGTGGTGCGTATATAACGCCATAACCTTTCCCATATCCCATATCCCATATCCCATATATGTATGTATGTGTGTGTGTGTGTGTATATATATATATATATATATATATATATATATATATATATACACACACACACGCGCGCGCGCGCGCGCGCGCGCGCGTACGTACGTAACGTACCTGGTTATGGGTCAATGTGCATGTGTAAATGCATGAAATGCATATGAAATACGTTAATAAAATTTCTCGGTACATCATGAGACCATTATGCTTCTGATTAATATCATGAAATAAACTTTACCAACTTACGTATTTTCGAGACCCATGAACAGATGATAGAATAATATGACACATGGGAGAATAAGAATATACACATCTCTAGAATTTCTACAAATAGAGTAATTTATAGAAGTTGTGTATTTGCTCGTTCATTTGTGTCGTATAGATCATGCCAGAAGAAAGAAGGGATAACCTTAAATACCTGAGCCGATTCTCTTGACAACCCCCTAACACATGTCAATTGCGACGACACGTAACGACAGACCGTTGTAGGAAAATAATCCATATGATATTCTTGAGAAAGATTATAGCGAGCTCCCTTAAAATTGCAAATCCCGTTACTATTATGTCGTATAACTTCGCATGAATTCCTTGTTGAAGTTGCTTATAAAATATCGTCATTTTGAAGGAAATTTTGGAAGATGCTAAGGGATGATTTTAGGTTGAATTGTTGGAGTATTATCCGTAAGTTGTTTTATCCAAAATGAAGCTTAAGTCTTTAAAAATGAATTGNTCTTCCGAAAATCCTAAACCGATGAGATTTTGCGATTCTCAGATACAAGAGAGTTAATGTTACACCTTCTCCAGAAAAAGGTAATACAAACTTTGAATAATAATCTTTGTAGTCATTATTAAGTGGTTTAGAAGTAGACAAGGATACAACAAAAATTTTCCATTTCATAAAGCAAACAGAAACATGAAAACTGAAGTATATTACTATGGTAGAAGGCCTTGAAAAGGGAACAAATGACTTACCAGGAGAGTTGCGCAGTGCCTTGACAGCGTCGAAGTTTTCACATATATAGCCCCAGTTAACATGGTCATACACCTTTTCCAAGAATATCATACGGATATTTTCCTATTCCAGGTATGTTAAGGCTATCCCTTCTTTCTTTTGGCATGATTTATACTACAAACGAAACGAGCAAATGCATGATTTCCATAAATGAATCTATTCATAGAAATACTAGGGGTGTCTATATTCTTGATTCCCCATGTGAATTATTATTATATCTTCTGTTCATGGGTCTCAAAAAATAAGTATTTCATAAAGTTTATCCGAAAGACATATTAATTTTTATGGCATTACGAGAAAATATTATTAATGTATTTCTTATCCATTTCATGCATTTATATATGTGCATTGACCCATGACCAGATGGCGTTATATACGCATATATGTATGTATGTGTGTGTGTGTGTGTATATATATATATATATATATATATATATATATATATATACACACACACACGCGCGCGCGCGCGCGCGCGCGCGCGTATATAACGCCATC